ACTCTTTCTGAACTTCATCTAGCCAAAACACAATTATTTCAGTATAACGAGAAGTACAGGACTTACAAATCTGCATGTCATCATAACCTATAATGTATAGCTCTCCAGACAAAAGAGTTGACATTTGTGTAAGACCCCAAAACCAAAAATAAATAAAGTGTATGCAAGGAAGAGGAAGAGAAAGAGTTGCAATGTACACGATCAGACCCAGGGAAGACAATGTGAGCGAGACTCCACTAGGTAATTAACTGTTAAGCTGGCAGTAGGGAGGGGATTGGGGGCATGTGGATTGGTTGCTAGGGTATAAGCATAGGTAGTGTGAATTGGGAAGGTTTAGGCAGGAATTAGTTTAGGCTTTGGTTGAGAATAGGCACTGTTGAATTGCCTAGGATATTTTTGTTCTTTTTCACTTGTCCTTGGCTTCTCATACTCCAAAACCTTTGAATACAGGCTTGATACTTGATAGTATAATTCATTACAGTTTCCTCTCTATTTCTCCTAGCTCTTTCTGGTACACAACAGTACATTTCCAAATTGGTTGGTCTAGAAGAAACTTCTCTCAATTAAGAAAGTGAGTAGCAAAGGGACAATAACAATTACAGTAAAACAGAACAGAAGAATCAATGTCCCAAATTCTCCAATCTTTGAATTGAAAAAATAAAAAGAAAAGAATCGAGTAAAACAAGGAGGGACTCTAGTTCAAAACTCTCCCAAATTATTCATCTTACTTCAAAAGTTAAAATTTTGAAGAAGATTATGGAATTATAGAAAAGTAATATATATATATATAAACAGCACTACACTATTAGTCTTTATGTCTCACAATCACTTCACACATGCTTCCTTCAAAAGTTGATAAAAAAATTTCAGATTTTTTACATTTTCAAAGCATTGGTGATCAAACTGACACAACCATTAATACTCTAAGGTTGACAATGACACCAGTAAAAGAAAAGGAAGACTGATACACACATAAAATTTAAGAAAGAGGAAAGGAGATCTGGAGAGAGAGTGTGATAAACAGAGACACATAATTTCCTCCAATGGTATCAAATAATGGAAAACTATCAATTATAAGAATTTAACTGCACATGATTAAAGTAAACAACAAAGGAATCAACTGTACTGAAAACAAGTTCTGATGCATTTCATACCAAAAGCATGTGGTAATTGGTGAAGAAATGCATCCCCCAACATAGCTCCTGCCTGCAAAAGGCATGGTCAATGAAAATGAAATGAAGCAAAAAATGTAAACCAGAAATGATAGAAGTTATTTAACCAAGTTAATGACAGAAGGTAATTTAATAACTTTTCCAAGTTAGCATTGTGCCAGCACCTCACGAGTTAGCAGACCATAAAGCATAAAATGTTATGACAAGGAAATAAGGAAAAATACCCCAAGATGAGCAGAAAGAAGAAAGGCCATATACAGCTTTTTTACTAAATTTTCTATTCAAGAATTTAAACAACACAAAAAAACTTAAGTGCCACAGCAGTAAATGAGATATTCTAATTTCAAATATACATGAATCTACATTAGAACAATCACATATCATGCATCCCGAAAGAATGGTATTTTAGAAGAAATGTCATCATCAACACTGAATGTAAGATGTGCAGTAAATGACATGGTGAATACTTCAGGATGATCAAATCTGTAATAGAACAGACTTGGTTTGGAGGCACTTAATGAGGTTGTAACTATCATAATGTTGCATTTGCATTGGGGAAGAGGTAATAATTGCCATCATTGTGATAGACAAGAAAAAAACTCAAATGATTCCAAAGGCCAATCACAGCCCTTCTGTCCTTGTTTCATGAGGTGAAATGGTTAACTGGGTTTTAAAGTTTAAGTTTCGTTGCAAATCAATCACAATATATAACAATGTAATGAATTGTGTCAATGTGGAAGGCAGAAAAATAGTTCCCATTAAGCACAGATTACCAGAGGTTTCTAGAATTATGACATAACTCCTAGGGAATACCTTTTTTTTAATTAGATAGAATCAGAAATAAGGAATATTTTTTTAAAAAAGGTAAATTAGAAAAAGAACATAAAATTTTTATCAACATTTCAAATTTCAATTATATGTATTACGTTAGGACCTTATTTTATTTTTACCCACAAATCAATCCCACGACTTGAGGAAAAGGCGAATTAAAATAAAAAAGAAAGAAAAAAACTTGATGGTGGAAGAGCTATCATTAAAAACAGCATCAGTCTAAGCACTAAAAAAATAAGATCAAACTCAGTTTAATAGGAAAATCCAATATGTTTGAAGCACCTTGGCCTTGATCTCCCAAAAAAGAGGAGATAATATTGATTAAGCATCAAAGAAATAATGCCATTGATCTCCCCTAAACAGGGGTTTCATAGTGCTGCTTATAGATTACTAAGTATCATATTTACCACAAAGTAATGCAAACAAAATTCTATCAGCACACCATCTATGTAACAGCCACACCACAGGAAGAAAGGAAGAGGATTAGAATCTCACATGAGTAATGCAACTGATAGGAAAGGGAATAGCCACCTGCGCATTTGGCAGGCAGCATGAGATGCACAAGGGGAGAATTCTGTTATTAGGACGTGAGACAAAAAAAGGGGGGTGGGGGAAAGAAGGAAGGAGAGAGAGAGTGAAGTCAAGAAAGAACTGTGCACGGTTATTGGAGAGATCAAGGCCTCTTGAATACCTAGCAGCTATCCATATTCCATTCCATAGTTGGTGTCATGATTTTTTTTGTTAATCACTTAGTCTGTATTACCGATACTCAGATCCTGCTGATATCAATCGCAGAAGAGACAATATACATCATATATACCTTTTCTTTATTAGATCTGATCCAGTTTCTATAAAATTCACAAACTAGACAACTCTATGGCAAGTGACTATTGAATTGCTGCACATTTTTCAAACTAAATTCACAAATAAAAAATAAACATAAAACTTGATGAAAATAAAGCAGATGGGATAATGCTAGTAATTTTGATGATAAACATAGTGGAAGAAAAGCAATCAAAAGAGAATTCAAGATAGTGAAACCAAAGAAAGTTTGTAGATGAAGCCTAACCCCAAATAAAGCCAATGAGTCAACAACAGCCTTTGATGGTTTCCCTTGTACTGAAATATAGGTGAATAACCCAGAGTATTCAGTAGACAGGCCTTTCATATTTAGAAATAAATAATTTGTATTAAACAAAATGACAAAAAAATTACTTACCAAAAATTACAGGCAGGAGTATCAGGCAAATAAGAGAAGCCATGCTCACCAGAAATGAACAGCCCAATGCATTCAACCAAAGACCTAAAATAAAAATAAATGAACTATATAAACATAAAATCTGAAACAAATCGTAGATTCAAGCTTCCAGCAAGCTAGAATAGCATTAACAGCACAAATCTTATGTCATTATTCTCCATTGTTTTATCCAAAAATATAAGATTGTTATCAGGGAACTTGCATTATATTAGAAATGTCTGAAGAAGATAAAGAACACATTTAAAATATATAAAAAAGAAATTGTTTCCAAATGTCATCATGAATGGGACTTTTACTCCTGTTACTTAAATGAAAAGTCTACTTAAAGGAGGCTCCTTATAATGGACAGAATCTGTACAAGGTTAGAGGGGGAAAAGAGAATTCAACTTGAATAAGTGTTGAAGAAGTGGTACATGTCTCAAGTTGAAATACTCCAATAACCGTGAGCATGATCTTCTAAACAGAACTTAGTCAAACAAACAGATATTTCCACATCCTAATAGGAATTAGGAAGCAAGCTAGCAGTCCCTCATCCCAACAAGCGATATCTCGCACTCAGCCCTTTAATCCTCAATAACGGAATCATCTCCATAATTTTCTACTTGATTAGCAACTCAGCCCATACAATACGACATAAATTAATAGAGAAAAAAAAATTAATTTCAAAGGTTCATTGGGTCAGGGAAATTAACTAGGTGAATTTTATACATCTACCTAGTACATTTGTGGAAAGCCCAATCACCCCATTTTAAGTAGAAATCACGTTATAAATTGCTCTAAACAGTAAACACAGGACTTCACAATTTCAAGTCTACAATGATTACAATCTAGTTTGCTTTCGGCATCAGTCTAAATCCGGCGACACTTTCCACAAAAACCCTACTTCAGCAAGGACGACATCACCCCTCGAAGCTCCAATTCCCTTAAAATTACACTAATCAAGGCATTTGTCTGACCTATTTCAGACGAGCTCCACTTGAACATATTATCGTGCGAAAAACACAAAACAATCATTACCTAAACCCGAAAGTTCCGTAGTCTGAATGCGATGATCGTGGTGATGCGGGATACCAAACCCATATAATTTCATATCCTCCTCCTCCGCTAACTCTTCGGGAAGCTTCAACCTAGCATCAATCTTGTCATGCGCATGGGCATGGTGATGGTCATGATGATGGTCATGATGATGGTCATGATGGTGGTGATCTCCGCAGTGACGATGTGCATCGGATGCGCAGAAAGCGGAATGGGAGTGAGGCTGATGCGCTATTCCCAGATCCAAACAGGAGGCGAGAACCAAACAGTGGATAAGCAATGCGAATTGGAGGCAGTTTGTAGTTGAAGGCAATGCCAATGCCATGGAGAGTGTTAGGAGCGTGACTTGCAAGTGCCTTCGATTGTGATGAAGCAAACAATTACTAAGAAGAGGAGGATAATGCCGACTATGATTCCGAACGTTACGACATCCATATTTAGTGTACTACTACTACCACATCAGCGTTTTTTTTTTTTTTTTTAATAAATAAATTGTAGGCACGACTATTTTCGGTTTTCTTTCGCTTTTAGCGAGGAAAGCAAGCACCACTGGAATTTAGCATCAGCGCGGCGCAGCGCAGGGTACCTGCTACTAGTACTACTTTCGCATAATCTTTTTTCTTTTTTCTTTTTATTTTTTTACTAATTTTGTTATTCTAATATTTTATGCGATGCATAGTTCTTCAAACCTATTAATTTCGGCTTATGCCAAATTTGTTAGAAAAAAGTCAAAAAGTTGACTTGAAAAAAACTCAGAATATCTCATTCAAGCTGCGTAAATGGGTACTTTAATTATAATAGAATAACTCTACAAAAAAAAAAAGATTTTATTAATAAACTAATTCTTTTTTACAAAATTAATAAACTAAATTAACGTAATGACAATAACACTTTAAATATTTGATTGTTACAAAATAATAATGTTTACAATAACAACTATTTATTTTTAATTATTAGTTCTAACATCTTCCATTAATAAAAAAAAATCTTGGAATAATTCTTGCACTCGCACACAGTTTTGCTCTCAATCTTTTAAAACCTTTAAACTTGAGTTGAGCGAGGTTTAGTAAAAATATATCTAACTTGGTCTCGTATTTTAATATAAGTTTTACATTTTTAAATTAGAGAAATTAAAATAGTTTTAAAAAATTCAAGAGACTAAAATGATAAATTAAATATTTAAATATATTTTTAATTATTGTAAAATGAATATTTTTATTTTAATCTTTACAAATTTTTTACTTTTTATTTTTAAAAATTTAAAATTGTTTAATTTATGAACAAAGCTCTTCACATTTTAGAGAATTAATTTTATTCATCTTTTTCATCTCCAATCCAAATAAACCTCGAGTATTAATTTTATTCAAATGTCCAGTACACAAATTTGTAGAAAATAAAAACATTATATTTTTTAATTCATAAAAAGTATGACTACAACAATAAAGTTCAAATTTATAACATTGTGTCATTTTGACTTTTTATTAATTAATTATATTTTATATATGATTAATTGTTAAAAGGTGGCAATTGCTAATGTTTTAGGACTTAAAGGTCAAGAGATCCTTGGAAGTTAAGTTGATATTGAAGTAATTTAGTTTGAGTCAAGTTAGTCTAACTTAGGAAAGGATACATAAAATTTTCTTAAGATGTGAAACTCATAAATTTATATCTTAAAAAAATATAGAAAGAAGTTAATAAGATAAATTTTGGAGAATAGAGAGGATCTTACTTCTAATTCTTTTGAAACCTTGTACGATCCTTTCTTTAACTAAGCAACAACAATAATTTACCATATTCAAAGCTTAAAGGCTAAGAATCTGAAGTGGCGAATCATGCAAAAAAGTCAAGTTCTTCCTTCTTTCTCCCCTCTTCTCATTGTTTGGAACGATTCAAGGTAAAGGAAGTTTGTTGATTGAATAATATTGATGTATAATTGTTAGTTGTTGCCTGAAACTATCTATTGTAATTGAAATTGTGTGAAATCATGAAATGATGAGTTTTTGGTTCTTGAAGGTGTTTTGTGAGAATGTGATGATTCTTGGAAATCTATGGTTGCATGTTGTATTTGGCGTTGGTTTTGAGTTTTTTAAGGTGTATATGTGTTTAAGTTCTATGTTATATGTTGGTTTGGATGATTAGTTTGCAAGTTTGAGCCAAATTGAAGATTCTATGAAATGCGAGAATTGTAACGACCCGTCATGGTCTCTACACTTAGTGGAATCGCACTACTACTAGTGAACTACGAGAAATATTAAGCTGGATAACTTATACATACAAGTATATATAAAAATAACTAAGTTTCTTAAAATAAAACACCATATATGTACAGTTATCCCAAAAATAATATGACATTAGTGCTGGTCAAGCACAGACAAAACCGTTACCAAAATGGTAACTCTAACACGAGGATCAAACTCCCCATCTCGCAGCGATCACCTCAACTCCAAGCTAGCCCTAACCTGCTCCCATACAAGGTATGATCATCGCAGTCCATCCACATGGAAACAGAAGGGTAAGCTAGAGTTCAAAAATCAATCATACAAGTATAGAACAATAATCTATACTACACAATCATCCAACTATCAATCATATTCATAGAGTCACCATACACTCTATCCAATACTACTCATGCATAAAATACATTCCACCAATCATGAAGTCAAACACCACACACTTCATCATATTAACAATCATGCAATAAATGCATCTCATGATAGATATCAATGCATATCAATCATCTAATGCGTCATCACGCATACACCTAAGAGATCTCCCTAACAATAGAGCTGTATAAGTGACATTCCATCCTACCGAAACCACCTCAACTATTTTCATGCTCAATGCGCCCGCTAGATCGCAGCTAAACAGGATATAATCCTCACTCGGGTTTACTCGGATGATGTCACTTACACAATTGGAAGTCTAGATCCACCGTCAGGTATAGCACAGCTGGGTACGGGCTTACCACGACCTTGGCATGCATAACCAAGTCAATTGTGGAGTTCGCCCACCGACTATCCGCAAGGATCCACGCACCTTCCCGAGTACTTGGTTAAACTTTAAACATGCATAAGCATCAATTTAAATTAATTATTTATAAACATATTCACGCTCAGCGCAGTCAGCTCGAGCCTAGCCTAACACTAACCCGAGAGCTCTAAGCTCTTCCACGCCCGTGCGCTCAACCTGCGCTCGACCTAAATCCCAGTCAGAGAGTCAAAAACTCTCATCCAAACTAACAAATTCAGCCACATGCAAACACAAAACACAATGCATAGGCTCCATATGACTCAAAATAAACTTAAATCTCACATGCATCCAACCTATGCATCAAAATCATCAAAATCCTCCTTTTTCTCAAAACCCCAAAAATGAGATTTTCTTCAATCCATCTATGGATTCTCAACATTCATGCATCAATTGAGTTTCTAAACTCACATGAAACCTAAACAACAAACATTCTAGCTTCCCTCACCTGAAGATTGACTCAAAATAGTCAATAATTGAGAAGAAGTAGAATTCTCTTCCGAAGCTCAACCCGGAACTTCAATCCTCCCAAAGCAAGTTTCCTAATCTGAATTTTAAGAAAAGACAGAAGGCATTAGTGATCTAGAGGAGAAAAGGAATCGTACAGAGAAATTTGGGAGAGAAAGGAGCTCACAGACCTAGAGTCCTTCTCTCTAAAACTTCACTTTCCCCTAAACCACACAACTCTTATTTATAGAAGTTCAGGAGTGGCCAGAACGACTTGTTCCGAATCCAGAATGGCCCGTTCTACACCCCTTCATCACGTACAAAAATCACATGCAGAACGGCCCGTTCTAAAACCAGAACGGCTCGTTCTGGGATTCATCCAGAATGGCCCGTTCTCCATCCAGAACGGCCCGTACTCACTCCAGAACGCCCCGTACTCCCTCTAGAACGGCCCGTACTCCATCCAGAACGGCTCGTTCTAGGGTTTGGAACGCCCCGTTCTCAACTACAATTTACAAGTAAATTTAGTAGTTTGGAACGGCCCGTTCTAGGCTACTAAATCACTCATATTGGGCTTCTGGGCCTTCTGAAATAAACTACTACGTTACAGGAATCTTCATCACGTTATGAATGGGCAAGCCAAAGTCTCTCTACCTCAATGACGTCGAGAGTGAGAAGGATGATATATATTGATGTTCTAAGTTGATAGTTGGATGAAAGTTGTTTAGGTTGTGAGTTGTTAATTGATTTAAAAGTTGTTAAGTTGTATAGGCATGCAGTGATGAAATGCATGTCTTAGTTGAGATATATAAAAACTAGAAGAGAGTAAAGTTATTTTTGAAATTAAAATATCTCATTATGTTGATATAAGATATGGTACTCCGAGAGCCCAAAGTTGATAACTCTTCAATAAGTAAGTTGGCTTTTGAATGAGTAGTTGTTTTTAAGTTGTCTCCTTTAGGTTTTATATGAAAAATAGTATAGGGGTCAAGTTGAATCATATATAATGATTATAAAGCGACCAAATGTTGTTTCATATGAGAGAAAGGTTGAGCTATACGTGTATAAAGTGACAAAATTATGTAAAGTATGGAGTGCAAGAGGTAAAACCCTTAACTGATTACAATAAATGTACGTAGTGTTTGGAAGGTAGTCGGGGGAGCTAATTCTATATGATACTTAGATGTTTATGTTAAGGTCGTGATAAACTTACACTAAAGTTATTATACCCTGATAGTTGTATTATAATTTCATAGTTTAAGTAGTGAAAGCTGAGAAATCAATTTAAATTGTTTACCAGATACTTTGAGAGACCTAATGTTGAATCTACCTAATTTGGTTACAATAAGTCAAATGTGGTGATTCGATGGGGTCAAACCACTTAGACTCCTCACCTCTATTGTAGGAGATTTCCATAATTTGATATGTGTGATGATACATTAGTTGTTTAAAGTTGTTTACGTTATGATTAAAGTTATTTATGTTAAAAATGTTGTTTGTGTTGTAAGTTACTACATTTTTCTTTTATTGTTGTTGATAAGTTGAAAAGTTGTTAAGTTGATATTGTGCATGGATTAGGTTGATGTTGCCTAAGTTGGGTGTGTTGTATAAGTTGTAAATTTATGTTGATGTTGTTATGTGATTCTTTCACAAGTTTACCCTTTATTTTCCTTATAATTGGATTGTAATGATCATAGTTGGACTATAATGATTATATTTGATATAAGAGTATGATAAGATTAGGATGGATGACTTAGTAGAGGGTCATGATGGAGATGATTTGACTTTGGTGATACTACTCTGATGTAAAAAATTCTTGTATAGACACTTGACCGACAATAAAGTTATGTTCTAAGTATCTTGTATATTTAGATATTATATATATATATATAGATATTGTATATATGTAACCTCTTAAAAAGACTTTATGTTTTCAATTATATTGATACACGCACACGCATACGCGCACGCGTACACACACGCTCAAAGACAGTATGAATATTTAGGTGATAATTAAATGAGAAACCAAAAATGATAATTGATTTTATATTTATACTATATTAAATATAGTAATCTAGCATTTCGTTACAAAATCTAAGTTTATAATTAGGAAAATACTAATAGTTTAGAAAAATCATCTTTAGAGATATTAAATAAATAAAGTTTATTTCGGTGTTTAAATAAAGTGTTATTTGTATAAGTTGATTACTTAGTGATGTTAAATTGATTTGTATGAGTTTTTATATTCTTGTAGTAATTTAATATATATCATTATCTTTGCTGTAAAAAAAAAAAAAAAAAAAAAACTTAAAATGTCAACTCTTTCCTTTTTACAACTTAGAATAATTTCCATTAATAATCTTTGGTAAATTGAAGTTGCAGGATTTTGATCATTAGTAGGTATTATGCACATGGTATATCATTATTAAACACTCAAGGATAAAGCAAATGCATATTCCTTATTAAATTACTTTCTGACCAGGGGTTTCGTAATGTGGCCATCATAGTCAAGCATTTGACCAAAAAGTACGTAAATACGGTAGAACTACAAAGGGCAAGTCAATACACGACAGGGCAAGTCAATACACGACAGAGTTCCATTTAATAAATTTAACGTATTTTGATTTAAATAACTTATTTTATATTTTATCAATTTAAAACATATTGATTTAAATAAGTTTTTATATATATATATATATATTATTTATCAATTTAAAATGTCTAACATATTTAAGTAATATTTTAAAATGTCATTTATATAATATTATTTTATTATTTTAGAAATAAATCAACTTCTATATATTAAACATAAACATCTATCTTTTGTGAGAATATTTTTAAGAATTTTTCTTCAAAGTGAGAGTTTGTACAAATTTTTTTAGTTTATTATCTAATTTAATTTTTATTTATTATAATTATTTATGAACTAAATGATAATATTTTAAAATAAATTATAAAAAAATACAGATAAAATTTTGTTATAATATAAATTATTTATCATAAATCTAAAATATAATTTATATATTCTAATATAATATTTATTTATATACATAATTAATTATAAATTTTAATATTATATATATATAATAAACATGTAATTTGTACATTTCACATACTAAAATATTAGTTATTATAAACATGTCTTTTTATTTGGTGTGTTATTATAAATGAGTCTTTTAGTGTGTATACTCTCAAATATTTATTAGTGACTATATCTTTGATTTCGTACTTTATTTGATTGGTCACTTTGTAATTACTATAATTTGAGCTTTTCCTTATACTGTGATTATTTTATACACATAATCCAGAGGAAGCAACTAAAAACAACTTACCCATTTAAAAATTAAGATAATATATATATATATATATATATATATATATACACATATATATATATATATATATATAATGAGATATTTAATGAGATATTAAATTTCAAAAACATCTTTTATTCTCCTCTATTTCTTATGTATCTGAACATAAAAATGTATCACAATTACATACATGTCTAACATCTAAATAGCTTAACAATTTATCATCGTTCATCATATCAACTTATTTCTTTACAACTTAATTAATCATCTTTCAATATTTATACAAATTATCAGCTTAATAACAATAATAAACACAATATTTTATATACAACTTTACAACTTTAAACTTTAGTAACTATAGCCGTCCATTTTACAACTTTTAACTTTTCAATATTTTTATTTTATTATTTTGATCTAACACTCGAATTAAATAACCCGAAATATAAATTTGGACTGCAATTTCTTCGGGTTGCAATTGCATCAACTATTCTTGCCCAACCCTAACCTTAGTTGAGGGTATAACTTCCCTTGTTTAATTTTTTATATATATATTTAAATGATTTCTTATATATAAAATTAAAAGGAAAAAGAAAAAGAAATTGTGATTCTGAAATGCAACTTTAGTTTTTTATTTTTAAAAGTAGGATCTCTCGTTAACACAATTTAGTCTTTTTCAGGAATTTTAAAAAAAATTATTCCATTTTGAAAATTTTTGAAAAAATCATTCCTATATGGTAAAAAAAGCCGCCGCTTATTTAGATAGGATGTGTTTGAATAACTATTCTCACACGTTTCTATGCATCTAAATGAAAAAGCTTGTCTCAATAAATTAAATTTATCGGGCGTTTGATGTGTTGGAATGAGAATCCAAACACTGACATAGTTTAGCTGGAAGAACACTCGATTTAATTTTCTTAAAAAGATAATAAGTTTTTTAGCTTATAAAATGAAAGTAATTTGATTTTAGTTCTTTGAAGAAAAAACTTTTTATCCTTTAAAATTTAAAATTATTGTTTTTAATTTTTAAAAAATGACAAATTTTGATTTTTAGAATATATATATATATATATATATATATTTTCTTTTCTTAATT